CGCCCGGCTCAGCAGCACCTGGGCACCGCACCCTTGCGGCGGCAGCGGCCGGGCTCCCCACGCGGTGCCTGCCCTGGCCGGCCCGCTCCGGGGCTGGGCGCGGCTCCGGCTGGGTTTGCATGTGCTGCCCTCGCCCCAAGCCGGGCGCGGCGATGGCTCGGGGCCCCGGCTGGCTGGCGGCGGTGGCGGCTGCGCTGCTGCTCCTGGCGCCCGGCTCGGAGGCCGGCTGCGCCGAGCTGGGGCGCTGCTGCCGGGGCAGAGACCTGGCTTGTGTCAGCAGCGGCTGGAGACCGGACCGATCCCACGGCGTCTGCTACTGCGACCAGGCGTGTCCCCGCACCATGGACTGCTGCCACGACTACCCGCAGGCCTGCCCAGGTGGGTGAGCGCCCGCTGCGGCCGGCGGGCTGCCTGCTGGGATCCGGAAAGGCGCCAGGTGCCGCGGGGTGGTGCTGGGCACTCAGCACCGATAAGTCACTTTGAAGGTGTCTAGCACCCATAGGTGCCACGGGGAGGTGCTACCCGCCTGTGGGTCTCAAGGCGAGGCAGTGAGAACCTGTAGGTGGCCAGGAAGAGGTGCCAAGTCCCTTCAGGGTTTTGCTCAATATTTGTTACTTTGCCCTGAATTTCACTGACTAGGGTTTGTGCTTCTGGGCAGCTCCTGGTCTGATCTGAAAAATGCCAGGTGTCCCAAGGTGTTCAGTAACAGCCTGGGCAATGCCTTTCTGGCTTGGGATAAACTCCTTGTAGTCTCCCTTAGCACCCCTCACCCCCTCTTCTGGTGTTTAGAAATACCCAAGGGAGTTAAGGGGGCACCATCAACTGGAAAGTAATCTAGTCCGTTTTAAAAAAATGACTAAAGAGCAGATTCAGATCTGACACCTGCTCCAAGTTCCCTTTCTGTTTAAATATTGTGTGTGACTGTAATGTGTGTCTGTTTTCAGAACCACCCTCTTCCCCCCTGGTACTGTGTGTAACCTCCCACCCCAACAACAGAGGGAACTGGCTGTGCAGGAGAAACCCCCAAAGAGGCCATCACAAATACACACAATACACAGACTAGTTTTCTCTCCTCTTCTCCAGTTATAGGAACCCTAGGCATTACTTACGAGAAGAGTAGGTAAAACATTTTGAGGCAGCAGTATGATGAATTTATGGTTTGCCTCTAAGATTAAGGTCAACTAACCTTCAGGACGTGTCATGAGGTGACTCAGGTGAAGTTTATTATTTTAATGATACGTGTATTACCATAGTATCTGAGCACTTCTGCAAGTATTAATTACGCTTCAGAAACCTCTGTGGCATAAGGAAGTAATAGCTCCATTTGACAGAGGGGAAACTGAGGCACAGAGTTTAAATGACTTGCCCAAGGTGTCACATGAAGTCTGTAACAGAAATGGGGAAAGAACCCAGATCTCTTGAGTCCCAGTCCTGTGCTTAAATCACAAGACCTGCTTTCTTCTCATTAATAAATTGCTAACTCTAGTACCAGATTGTGTCTGCTGGGGTAAATCGCTACAGCTCCCCAGAAGTCAGAATGTTCTCAAACTCTGTATGTGTCTGGGCTGGGTTTGGGCTGGGATTTGAGCTAGCTGGACCCTGAGCCCCAGTCCATGGGCAGTTGTGTTTTCATGTTGATGTGCAGTTCAGAATGGCAGGGAGTGGAGCAAAGCAGTAAAATGCTTTAGAGCAAAGTGCAAATTTTTAATCAGGGAGGTAACTTTTTCCAGAGATTGGTGCAATCACCTGCCTGTTTCCCACAAACCACTTCCTCAAAGAGTCAGATGCACACTGATAGTATTCTTAGGTGTCCTAATCACAGTTTCCATATTTTTCCTCAGTTTGGCTCTGCCCTAACAAAGTTTTGCAAACATTTCCATGATCTTTTGGGAGCACTACGTTGAGGGAAAGTTCCCTGTGGGAAATGACTTCATTTAATCATTTTAAATTGAATTTAGTGTTGGTGAAAGGGGCTGGGTTGGCAGTTCTGGAGACTGAAAACTCCTATTTACCCAACATGCACAGTATGGATTGCAGCAATGCAAACTACATCTTTGTTGCCTGAGCCCTGACCTGAAGGGATTAACTCCAGGGATGAGAGAAGAGCTCTTTCTCTTTTTCCGACTTGGCTCCTCTGGGCTGAGGCTGCCAATGAAGGGGTCTGTCCTGTTGGTGCTAGATGTCAGAATGGCTTTTAGTGATGTGGACACAGGCCCACTGGGAACTGAACTGTTTCACATGTGGGGAGTGTTTGAAGTACAGACACATCATGATTCCCAGTGACCATGCCCTAGAGCAGGGGTTCTCACAATTTTTTTGGTGGCCTCAGAGTGCTTTGCACGTTCTTGTCTTTTTTTGATGATTATATTTCTTTTGTGTTTTTGGTAAAAGTGGTTGTCTGTACAACAATTCTGAAGTAAATTTAAAAATGCTTTGACATAATAGGTTTTATCATTATTATTTGGACTTCTGTCTGCAAATAGGTCCCAATTTTTTATTTCAGAAAGACAAATATCAATCCAATCCAGTAATAATATTAACAACAAATCTAATCCTATTCTATTGTATGTTAGAAATACAGCATGATGATAAAAGTTCTGGGTTTTACCACAACCATTGTGTAGATCAGATTACTTGCAAAAACTCAGCAGCTCTTTGAAAGGAAAGTCTGCAGGATCTCGGGTCTCCTGTGAAATTAAAATAAAAGCTTTGAGGTTAGCATCAGCGAGGCAGTTTCAGTACTTGTTTTTCAGGAAATGAAGGGCACTGAATGCCTTCTCACACAGCACAGTAGTAGAAAACAGGGACAAGCAAAGCAACTTTAGCTATGGGCTTGTAGGTGTCCTCAGACAGGTACATGTTATTCCAGAACTCCTGTACTGTACCACCAGGCTGACTGAAGTATGTTTTCATTCTTGAATCCTTGCACATTTTCAGCATAAGGGATTTGAGATTCCTTAAGGTCAAAGGAAGCTAATCTGTCTTGAAAGGCAGTTAGTTTGTTTGCAGCCGAAAAAGCTGAACCAGAATTGTTGAATGGGTCAGTCACAAAGGTGTACTGATGGAAAAAGCTTCCCTCACTGAAACAGTTTTCAAGATCCTCCAACAGGATACTCGGCTGTAACCAAATACCTAAGCTGACTTTTTGCTTTACATTTTCATCCTGACAGCTGAGAAACTGACTAAGCTTGCATTTAAAAAAAAAAAACACCCTGAAAAGTCCCATTTCTCTTGTAGGTGCTGGACGATGTCAGTGATTGTCATTCTAAATGTATTAATTATTTCAATGCTATCAAATATTGTTAGCTGAGGTTTCTGAAGCTCCCGGCTCAAGGAAGCAAGCTTTGGTAAAACCTCTTTCAAAAAGAGCAGGTAACCATGTACTTCTGGATCGTGTAGTTTTTTTTGGACAGTTCTGGTGAAACTTTATTCAAAACCTCAATGAGCTCTGAGAAGAGCTCAAACAGCCTCTGTACACGGTCACTAAGCCAGTGGACTGGGTTGTAATTCAGCAGCACCTTGTGTGTTTCACAGCCCATTTCACACAGAGTTGCGAATTTCCCTTTATTGACACTGCTGGTGTTGACAGCACTGATGGATTTTCCCCCCCCCCCCATGGATTCAACCTCATTCATACTTTTCATTGAAGCCTTGCTGGCAAGTACTTCTTGGTGGGCAAAACAGTGAACCAAAGAAAGTCTAAGTGCACCTTTCTTGGAAGCCGTTCAGCACCCCTACTTGTGCACTTTGCATAGCTGCTGCCCCATCAGCTGTCAAACCACAGAGATTGTCAAAGCTAACATAGCACTCCTGCATTCTCGCCTGCACACATTCAAAAATGTGTTTGCCAGTAGGCCTATCTCTGAGGCTCACCTGACATAAAACGCCTTCAGAAAAACAGCGATCATGGTCCAGAAAGCGAACGCATATGATTACCTTGGGATTCCTCATGACATCAAGGCTCTCCTCCAAGCACAGACTGTAGAAGGGGCTTGCTGCGACTTTTCCAGCTATTTCATTTTGTAGAAAATTCACCACATCTCTTATGCTGCTCTGTAATGTGTCGTTGCTCAGTCAGTGATATCTCTCTGAAAAGCTTACTTTCTGGTTCTATGGCCAGAACAATTTTCTTTGGCAGTTCTCCATCGCTGAATGGTTTCCTTGCTTTTATTCAAAAAAATTTTGAGCTGCTGCTGTTGTCTTTTGAACTCTGTTTTTGCATCATGTACCAGCTTGCGCCTCTGAAACTCATTGTGGTAATTCTGCTCAAGTACCCCTGCATGAGTACTATAGTGATGTTACATTGCATACATTTTGATTGGATGAATCTCTCTTACAAATAGCACACGGCAATTTGCTCCGAAATATGTTTCTGAAGCAGTCTCTGATTCCAAGAAACTGCATTCCCTGCTGGTCTTGAAATGTTTGTTTTTCTTCCTCCCATGTTCCGCTTTTCTTAGCAGGAGGTGACTCCTGTGGGACCATCTCTGTATCACGTTCAGGGGCACTATCTGGCACTTAAATGGATATTAGAAAGGTTGGTGGTTTGTTGTGTCTTAACTCTTTTTTACCTTCTGCCACAAACAGTCTCAGCCTACTCAAGCCCCACACGGTGTACCATGATCTTGCCCATGATGAGATTGACCAATTGCTGCTTACGGAGCTACGGTAGTGGACAATGTAAACACACTGTATTTACGTTTTTTTGTGGTTTGAAAGGAAACCACATCTACGCAATACAGCTCTGCCCGCACTGTAGTAATATTTAGAAGGGAACGAGTTTGCATTATGATTTATGGCATTTACAAGGCAACTTTAAAACTTTATCTCAGCGATTGTTGGGGTGCTCTGATGCATAGGAGTATTTTGACTTCTATATTTGGGGGAGCAGAGTGGATTTAACCAGGACCAAACAGGGCCTTGTGGGTGGGGATTGTGGACAACTGCCCACAGTGCTGTGGAGGGGGGAACGCCATGGACAAGAGGCAAGAAATGGGGCAGGCTTGGGGTATGAAGCCACGGAAGGGAGCTTGGGACAATGTGGGGGGAGGCAGTAGGGTCCATGGGTGATGGGGCAGTGGGTGGGGAGCCTGGGAGGCAGCAGGACATAGAGGTAATGGGGGGGGGGCAGTGCTTAATTTGTAATGAAAGGTGTCAGGGCTCAACCTGGGTGCCTGCTGGTGGGTGCTGAGCTCTGAAGGCAGGTGACATTGGGGTGCTAACTGTGCTGTGAAAAGTGATATTTGTATCTTTTTAAAATCACTTTTCACAGCACATCCTGGCAAATTTGAGATCTGGGTGGAGGGTGAGGCACCAGGGATGATAGATTTGGGGGAGGGGGGTGCCACCAGTGCATGGTCTGGGCTGATGGTTGGTGC